TTTTGCTTTGAATTGTCGGAGAGGCAGTTTGGATTCCGGAAAGGGAGATCAAAGGTGGATGCAATTTGGACAATGGTCGAGAGAGTCGAGAAGGCGTCCAAACAGAAGCGAAGAGGAGATCGATCTTGCACCGTGATAACGATCGACGTCAAGAATGAGTTCAACAGCGCAGCTGAAAAGCCATAGCCAAAGCGCTGCATGGAATGAGGAAGCTTATTGCATATCGCATATTAGCTTATTGCGTGCTCTCAACTTAGTGTTCTAGATGCACTTCCACAGTTATTAATTGAGAGCTTTCGATGCCTGTACCATTTATGCATTGGTATAATTGTGAGGCAAGTACAATCATACTTCTATGCCCAGGGAAGTCGAGAAATTTTCCAACCCGAAAAATTCCTAGGCCGGACCGGGAATTGAACCCAGCCACCTCCAGCATGGACTTGCTTTGTAGCTCCGCCTTTACCGACTGAGCTAAGGGAGGCCCCTGGTTGTGGTCTACGAGACAGATATGGGCAGTCTTGTTAGCGGTCACGGTAGTCGACACATTTTCTGTGATAATCAACTGCCTTTGCCTTCAACACTTAAAAAACAAGCTATCATACTACAGTCCTAAATTAAAATGTCATATGACAGGCTCTATCATACGACACTGTGGCCGCAGACCGTCACGAATGTATATATTTTAGTTTTTCTAATAATAAGAGCTGCTGATGTTGTGCTTGTTTGAATTCTGAAAATAGCAAGCAATGATGTCTTAGTCATAACATTTCTGATCAGAAATGGATTAATTTACACCAAATTTAGGAATTAAAACGAAATCACACATGTCATATGATAGTTAATTGAAGATTTTCTTTTTGCTCGAATGTTATTATACGTTTGTGATGTGTGAGAAGGACGACGTTAAAGCATGAGTGTACGAATACAAACGGACTGTCGCACACGACAACGAAGCGAGTGTAGTAAAAAACGTGGATATGGGACAGAAATCGATTAGGATCACAACGGGTGCTCCATCCTTGCTCCAACGCACGCCTTTGTTAGAAGCGCGTGTTGAAATACCTGGGAGTGATGATCGATGACCGGCTAAACTTCAGCAGCCACGTCTAATATGTCTGTGAGAATGTTTAAAAGGCCATCAACACAATAGCTAGAATCATGCTGAACAACTCTATTCCTAGCAATATCAAGAGGAGTCTTCTGGCTAGATACTGAGGTATGGAGGTCTAGCCTGGTTTATAGCACTGGAAACGAAGCAGAACCAAAGGAAACTGAGCAGAACGTTCGGGCTCATGGTCATGCGAGTCGTGAGAGCGTACAGAACCATCCCATCGGAAGCAGTTTGCGCTATCGCCGGAATGATTCCTATCGGCATCACCAGGGGGAGGACAGCGAGTGCTACAGTCGGAGAGAAGCCGGTAGAGTACGGAAAGTGGTGAAAGTGGAGTCTTGCTGATGATGATGGTCCCACATCTTACCCCTACAAAGGTTTGATCTGGACGATTTATCTTTCAGATAATTATATATGACATTTCAACCAGGTTAGCAAGGAAAATCGAACTGGTTACAGTTAAAGATATAAATTCCCTCTAGAGTTTACAGTTGCTTCACAGCGATATAAATGTGAAAAAGCTCAGGCGTCATCCTCTTAGTTTGCCTTTTTGTCCACCTAAAATATTCATAAGTATTACAAGCGATCAAGAGTTAATGAACAATCAACACAGCATGCTATTGCACTAGCAACTCCGCAATCTGATGCTATCATAATTTTCAACAATGTCAGGAATGCTTACGAACCCCTCAACATTTTCATAAAATTTACTACCAATTCAAGATAGCTTCCAAATAAGCTTCAAAATTTCATTTTTTTTTATCAAATGTTAAATTCACTCCTCTATATCCGTAATACGCGCGCGAGGCTCAAACCTTTGAAGACTACTTTTTTTTTAAATCTACTACTATTAAATCAAATATTAAAATTCCATCATCACCATCGTGGCGAACAGAAATAGTTTCTGCAGTGCTACAATAATTATTAAAAAGCAGTGCGCAAAACAGTCAGGTTCTTTGAGTCATTTTGATATGAATATGAACTGCCATCATTGAGAGTTTGAATGATTCAGAGGTAAACGAGTAACTGACAGCCGAGCAACCATTTAGTAGCTCAGTCAACACGTTTATTTTGCCGTGATGGTACCAAATATTTGATTTGAATGACAGAGCGTATATTTTATATGGAAAAATTACTCAATTACATGCTGTGTGAGTGAAGGCAAGCGGTGTGCGTTGTCTGCTCGCGAGTGACTGAATGTTTTTGTTGGCTCGTTCATTTCCTCGTCCTTTATTGTTTGGTACAATCGGTCTGCACAGAGCAATGGATTGAATAGTGCAGTGCTTTCACACTCAGCCTAGGCAGTCAATAATTTTACGCTCTGTAAAAAGTCGTTATGACAGCTATCCATACAAAAATAATCCGTTATAGATAACTTCGTCAATATACATAATTTGTCAAATCATAAAAAAATCACTGGATAACTATTCAAAAGACAGTTTTAGCGTGTAAAATGCAGTGTTTTTTTTTAATTCTGTAAGTGTTGCTAACAGTTTGATATGTCTAGGCATCGAATTGAAAACATTTATTTCTTTATAATATAATGAATTTTGTGGAGTCCAAGTCAAAAGATGTGGGTTCTTATTTCAACCGCGTTTCTAGCATTATATCTATGGAAATCACTTCCTCTTTCAATTCGATCACACAAATATCGAGGCAGCAAACCGTTAACTACTTTAAAAATGAACACCATAGTCAAATATACAATTCTTTGCTTCACCGACAACCATTGTAAGGCGTCTAGCATCAAAGTTGAAGAAGTGAATCTATTACATCTCAAAATCAAACGCATTATTTTATTCGGAAAGCGCTGTAATCTCGATATTTGCGTTTCATTGGCCAGAAATAAAATAGAAGGACAAAAGTCTATATGAGGAGAGCTGATTGATTCGTAAAGCTGTATTTTACTGGCAATAGTTAAATCGTTTTTCAGTCAACATAGAATTCCATACTTCTTGGCAATTTTCATGATGACATTGTCAATTTGAGAGTTGAACTTAAGTTTGTCATCAATAATCACGCCAAGATATTCAATGACCCGAACGCGATCAATAGTCTCATCATCAATTACAACAGAGACGCTCTCATTTGCTCTATTCCGCGAAATTACCATAAATTTAGTTTTACTTGTATTCAATTTCAACTGCTTATACTTCAACCATCTACTTAGAGAACGCAAATCTTCATTCAAGTGTAAAACGGCGTCATCCAAATCCTTAGCTGCAATCAATAACACAGTATCATCTGCAAAAACATTAATATCGCAAAATCGTGAAACACGTTGCAAGTCATTAATAAACATAATAAATAACAGGGGCCCAAATACACTTCCCTGGGGCACTCCAAGGATATTCCCCACGAGGCTGGAAACAGAATCATTAAAAACAGTCCGTTGAGTTCTGTCAGACAAATAGCTTTCAAACCATTTATATGCAGTACTCGTAATTCCAAAGCGCTTGATTGATCTTAGCAATAAGGGCCTAGAAATTGTTTCAAAACCGCGCGTTTAAGATCCAAAAAAAAACAGCAACAATCGTATCTTTACACTCCAAGTTATTTTTCCACTTCGCTAATACCAAATTCAACGCGGTTTCACAAGAATGCCCTTCCCGATATCCCGATCGTTCTGGTATCAAGTCTTTGGCAAAGTGACAATATGAGTGAAACACGGTGGATAGCAGTAGATAGACACATCGGCTATTACCGATTCTTTCAACCTAGGTGAACAGAAAACACGGAGAAGTCAACCACCACCGGACGCAGTTCCTGTCTGGTCACGGCTGCCGCAGGAAATATCTGCATCGGTTCGGACACGTAGCGTCACCCCTCTGTCCGGAGTGTGGCAACGTGGATGAAACGCCGGAGCATGTGGTCTTGGACTGTCCAAGGTGCGAGGCTGCGTGAAGGGAGATGCCTGTTCTTGGAGAATGTCGTCGAAGGAAGGCACTTGGAATGGAGAGGGGAGCAGCGATCTAGCAACGCCAGCTAGCACTGAGAGTATAAGAAGTGCCAGCCCCCTCGAAGTAGTCGCTTCAACGTGGTCCCAGGAGGATCCAGGCAGATAAAAGAGTAAGGAATGGGCTTTAGTGGAGCTACACTAGGCAACTAGTGGATACCACCCCGTGCCAACTTCAATACAGGTCTGGCTTTTTGACCAATTTTATCTGCTTTGAAAGTTGATACACATTTCATTATCGTCAAAGGAAAATTAATTAAATAATTCTTATTATTGTATGGTTTAGAAGCGTTTTTACAAATAATAGGACAAGGTGGGGTAAAACGCACCCTGGCGTTATATGACCAACAGCGTTTTTTCTCGTACTATTAAAAGACTAGTTGATATAAACAATTTCCCAGAAGACTGTTCTGCAGCTCTTCAAGTGATTATGGGTGAAACTCCATTAAATTTGTTTTGCAAAACACGTAAATAAGTGCTGATGCTCATATTATCCCCGTACCCTCTAATGATTTCATTATTCTGTAATAGTATTAATGAAAAAAATAGGAAAGTTTCCCGTTTTTGTCAACCTAAAATTTGAGAAGTGGCTGACAAAATCGGGAAAGCACTGTATTTATTCCACTATATTCAATAGAACTAATAAATCTTCTTATTAAAGCTTTATAGGAAACACTGATTCTGATTTGCTACACGAATGTTGGAAGCCCGTGCTTCCATACATTTGTTTGGTTATAGTCGCACAAACTTGCAAACGATCAACTTATCATGAGCCAGACATTACCAGAGCAAAAAGCTTTTCAAATCCCAAAGACACAATTAACCGTTCCGATTCAACCTGCCTGCATCTATCATTCTTGCACCCAAATAAAAAGGATCTGCGCCAGAATGCTTATCCCGCATTTTATCTCTTCTTTTCTTTACCCATTTCAGTTCCCACGGCGACCATTATCGGTGGTCCGGATCTGCACGTCGACAAGGGCAGCACCATCAACCTGACCTGTGCCGTAAAGTACAGCCCCGAGCCACCGGCGTACATTTTCTGGTACCACCACGATGAAGTCATCAGCTACGACTCGAGCCGCGGTGGCGTTTCGGTTATCACCGAGAAGGGCGATGTGACCACTTCCCACCTGCTGATTCAGAATGCCGACCTAGACGATTCGGGCAAGTACAGCTGCTCGCCGTCAAATGCGGATGTGGCTAGCGTTCGGGTGCACGTGCTAAACGGTAAGTTCGACTCGTTACCACCTTAAGGGTGTCCTGCACCGAAGGATTTTCGATGTGTATTTATTTTTCTCAGCGAGTCCATCAGGGAGCTGAAATCCTTCTGTGCAGGATCGATCTACCCCTTCCCCCTGTTCCGCTTCATCGTGTATTTATTAACGCTCATATCAGTTCGGGCGGTTCTTTCAGGTGAACATCCGGAGGCCATGCAAACCGGAACTGCATCGTTCACCCGTGGCAATCCACCGTGGCGCCTGCTGACGGCTGCTTTTGCATCCGTACTGGCCAGTTGGTTACTTCTGCTTCGATGGCAAATAATAGACCGGTGCTTCTTTCCATCGTCATCAACTATTGTTGGTGGCGAAGGCTACAACGCGCTAGGACTATCGTCTCCAAGCAATCGTTTGTCTCCACACCGCAGCCCATCGACTACATCGGCACGGCAGCTTAAACAACGGAATGCCGTTGATAACACCTGTCCAATCGAGTGCCGGTGCAGCGGGAGATGATAGACCATTGTTGCTACCATCCATTCACTACCATCACCACAAGAAGCACCCCACCAGCAGTGCAATCGGCCACTAGTAGACAAACTAACGGAAACAACGTAAGTGTTGAGTCACAAGTTTGACAAAGGAATCGGGGGAGAAATAGTGTAATAAGAGAACAAAAACAAAAAAAAAATATGCAGAAACAGCGCCATCCTCCTGTGAAGCGTAATGGACTGTTGCATGTGCAATCAGAACAGACTCGAGTAGCCGAGTGTTTGCGTTCGATGGTAGGAAAGAAAAATGTTTACTTTTTCCCGCTGTCGAATCCATCCGATGGGGATGAAAAGAATCGGTGTGATACTTTATACGAGAAGAGAAACGGCGACGGTTTGTATTCATCGGTTCTGAGTTATGCAATGAAAGCACGAGGAGTCTCGTAAAACGATCCAAGTGCAGCGAGTCGTGTGCTAAAGCGTGTATCTAGAATAGGAATCCAATGAATTTTATTTCCCGCATAGCGTCACGGATTGGTATGAGTGAATTTATAGTGCTCGGAAGCAACGGAGACGAGAAGTGCACTACTTTTATGATCATAAGAAAATAAATAACTTTTACTTCACCTCAAACAGTATAAGCCAGCAGCAACGAAAAATTAGAACATGCCTTGGATCACTCAGATCAGCAATTTTATATGAAAAGACTCAAATCGACACAATAGGGGTATTCACAAAGCGCATCGTAAACGTATACACCTTCGTAAATGTGTAAACTTCCATTACACTCCAATTGACCCTGGTATTTTTACGATAGTGTATATGTTTACATTGCGCATAGTGAATACCCCTAATATCTATTCTAAGAGCACTATTCGACTAACTATATTTGACTATACTGTGGTAATTTGAGTTAAAGCGAAGACAACATATCAAGAAGACTGGCAACTTTGCCTGAATCCAAGCGACAGACACAGTAGCGCTGCACTCGAGCAAAGGTGGAAGCAACGCATAGAAAAATGAGCAAATACACAAACCTTTATTCTGAGGATGGAACCTTTGCAATTCAATTCGTTCGGAGCATTTACATTTGAGCGGTAGGTGACGCGATTCTGCCTGTCTCATACCGGACGTATGATAAAATGGAAGAGTTGCCAGTCTTCTTGATATGTTGTCGTCGGTTAAAGTCTAGAATATACTGATACCCCAAAACTTCACTCTGCTTATGAATTGGAATACTACACCCAACCTTTTTTTACGCGGTCTAATTTTTCTTTTATCTGATGTTCAAATAAAACCATGCTTGATGTAACTGGTGTCAACAAATCAGAAAAAAAAATCATATCGTACCTACAGAAATCACGTGCGTACACAGGAATCTTGTTAAGGAGGGGCAATTTTTTTCTATGGTGCATTTAATCTGGGGATGGGGAGTACTCCAAAGTGCGAGGTGGATGGTGTTGTCCATCATGAAATTATTTTCAGAACTCTTCTTGACTTTAACTCACAACATCTTGGAACCAAAATTCCCTTAGAGTTTCAGAAGAATTAACTCAGAATTATCCAGAAATTATTACCGAAATGAGCTAATCCCTTGATTTTTTTTTCTCAAAATCCCTTTGGAATTTCATTCAAAATTTAATTTTTTCGTTATTCTTTTCGGAATTATCTTGGAACTATCTGCAGGATTCACTAGAAATTATTCGCAGAATTTTCTTGGAATACTCCCCAGAAATCCTTTGGAACTGTCCATAGAATTCAATATCCTTGAGGTTCTTCTCGGATTTTTTTAGAACTCTTATAAGAACTCTTTTGAAATTCTTCTCAGTAGTCCACTGGAATTATACTTAGAACTATTGATGATTTTTTCTCAGAACACCTTGGAACTGAAATTCCTTTAGAGTTTCAGAAATTTTTCCAAGAAGGAGCTAGAAATTATCCTCGGAATTTGCTTGAAATGTTGCTTAAAATTCCTTTGAAATTTCGCTCAAAAATTGATTTTCTCGGTATTCTATTCAAAAATATTTTGGAACTATCTGCAGGATACACTAGAAAATAATCCGCAGAATTTTCTTTGAAGTCTCCCCGAAAAATTTTAGGACTATCCTTGAAGTTCTTTTCGGGATATTTTTGAACTTTTTTTTCTCATGTTCAATAAAAATTGCTTCTCCAATCTTCTGATTTCCTTTTTTTCATTTTCAATATAGATTGCTTCTCCTATCATCAGAATGTTGCAGGTTTTTCACTAATTAAAGATTGCCCCTATTTTCAGATTTTTCATCATAAATCTACAGTAAAGCAGCTTCCCTCCAATCATCAGAATGGTGCAATTTTTAAACCAGAAATTTTTGTTAAAATTTGTATCTCTATTTAGCAGAAGGATGCAAAATTAAGACCATAAATTTTCCAAAAAGCTTGCCCATCCGTTTACCAGAACGGTGCAGATTTTCCACCAGAAATTTTCAATTTAGCTTAATTTTTAATAAAGCTTGTGCCTTCATTTACCATAACAGAGCAAGATTTCCACCAGAAATATTCTGTTCATTTCATTTATCAGAGCGATGCAAATTTTGCACCAGAAATTTTCAATAAATCATGCTCCTCCATTCACCAGAACGGTGCACCAAAAATTGTCAGTGAAGTTTGTTTCACCATGCACCTTCGTGGTGTAATTTTCAGGCTTTGCCTCTTTATGCACCAAAATGGTGCAAATTTTCCACCATAAATTCTCAATGAAGCTTGCATTCATCAGAAAGATGCAAATTATGCACCAAAAAATGAATAAACCTTGCTTCTACATTCACCATTCACATTCATTCCTTCGAAAGGGAAGTAAGGCCGTTGGTCTCGTTGGCAGTTGGCCCATGTGCTAGGATTTGGTCAACCGTCCGAGAGTAGTATCCGAAGGAGGCTTCAGAAACCAGTTTCCTACCTAACTCTTTCCAATCGAAATGTTTACCCATAAGCCTCGAGCCCGCCACGAGTAATTGGTACCCAATACTAACCTAGAACTACTGCTGTTTAAAATTTAAATTCAAACATAACTGATTTATGGTTCCGCAAAGTGTCACACACGACTGACCCTAGTAAAGGAAAAAAAGAAGACAAATTTTACTGAAAAGTCACCAAATGGAACACAGCCTAACCCAAGTAACCAAAAGTTCTGATAAAAGGTGGTCTATAGAAATCTAAGTAACCCCATGTTTAAGTCGTAATAAGAACTTGAACGTTCCGGTACCATAATTGAAGCATTCTAAGCAGCTTCTGGCGAAACTTGAACGGAACTTTTAGAAAATAAGTAAAAAAAAAGGTTTTTGTCCGCTACACCCAAATTCTATATTTAGTTCGCACTTTTATGAAAGTTAATTCTAAAGTCAGGTCTTCATGAAAATTATTTCTAAAGGCAGGTATGAACGTGTATTGATTTATCAGCATTACTAGTAGTATTGGAGCTGTTTGAACCCAGTCCTTCTGCGTGAAAGCACCAGCATGAACCGCTAAGTCATCTGAAATATATTAAAGTGGGCTGTTGTCCCGCCTACTGTTGGAGTTTTCAGAACCAGCTGACTGACTTGAATACGAAACACAACACCTTGATGAACTTTAGATTGGTGTTTGCCTGCATGGTTTTCCAACACACTTGTGGTACAGTGGTTAGCGTTCGTAGATCGCACGCCGAATACACGGGTTCGAATCCAGGAAATTGCTTCCTAATTTTTTTATGTTTGGTTGTTGTTTGGAAATATAAGCATTATGATTTATTTGAGCCGCTGATCATTTCATATTTACGTACATCAAATTTTGTTACAAATAAAGACTTGTGCGGATTGCTTCATGTAAGCTATGACGGACCTTTTTAGAAACTTTCAAGTTCCTAAGAAGTTCCGCAGTGAACATTTAAAATACTTTAAAGTTTCTAAGAAGTTCTACTACCGACGGAGACGAGCCAGCCAACGGCTGAAAGTCTCCTTAATAAAGATATAAAAAAAAAGAAGTTCTACTGGGAACTTGTTCGGAACTTTGTTGTGGCCATGTTTTCAGCCTTGCCCGAAGATTTTAAGAAGTGCTTAGGGATGCTTTTTGGAGTTTTTTGAACTTCAAGTTGCTAGGAGTACGCATCGGAACTTTTTGGAGCCTGAAGTTCCTCGTGCGCTTTCTATCGGTTCTTAAGTAGCCAGAATGTTGTGTTAGAACTGTATATGCACTCATGGAACTTGAGAGTGGGTTTTATCGTTGAATGAGGAACTTTTGGTGGCTTGGGAAGAAAGTTCTGTTGGAACTTTATTTGAACTATATGGAACTTGAAGGTTCTGTGAGAACTTTATTCGAACTTTATGGAGCTTGGAAGTGAATTTTATCGTTGAATGAGGAACTTTTGGTTACTTGGGAAGTGTCTTGGACGGACAATTTACTCAATATTCTAAGAACATGTCAACATGGGAAGTTCCATGACAGCTCCTGTGCACTTCTAGTACAGGTGCAGAGGTTTATTTGTGGTAGGTCAAAAGGTTCTCGTAAGTGGGTTTTTGGGCTTTACAAGTGGTGTCCTGAGAACTTCTGAAGCAAGCCCCGCAGATTGGATGTTTTCATGGGATCCACCCAGTAGAATTTAAGCGCTGAACTGAGATCCTTCCTACCGAGGACAAACTATCATCCAAAAAATAAATCGCTTGTGTCGCTCGTAATGATGAGCGACTTTGTTAAAGCAGTGGTTAAGACATCCAAGACGACTAGCTGTTGTAGGGGTTTGTTTTAATTTCGCGATGTCAAGTGTCAAAAGTGCAATGGTCCAGGGTCGAAGATATTGTTTTTCTTAGTTCATTTTCAAGGTGACCAGTGAACCGCGAAAATCGGAAGAACCAGGAATTAACTGGGAATCGAAAACAACCAGAAAAAAAAAATCGGAAAATAACCGGAAATTAACTCTTTAGTCAAGCTTCTGCATTCATTTTCCATCAGATGTTCTATCGGAAACTACGTATCATCTGTTTTCCGTTAATTGGTCACAGAGAATAGTGCAGAGCAAAAGTAGAAGTAGTAAAAATACGTTTATTGTACATTGATTTTACATTGTTCATCAATTCCAAATGATTACCCTGAAGGGCTCTTCATCTTTGTTTAATTTGTTATTCTAATTTACGTGTTAACGTTTTTCAACTAGTTTACAAGTTATCCCTTTTGGGTTCATTTTGGTTGAATTGAATAAATAATGTTATAACCTACCTAACTACTAATAACTTAACCTAATTAGCAAGACCGCGTATGATCTCGTGATTTGATCTCAGACAGGCGTCTTTGAACTTTTCGAGGATGAGCGTCCCGAGTAGCACACTTTCATCACAATAAGTTACAGCAACTTGTTTATGACTGAAATAAGTCGTATATAAGTTTTTACAATTGATTTGTGACAAGCGTGCTACTAAGGGTACTCCGCTCCTCCAGTGTCTGAGGATTAATTAATTAATTTATCTTTATTAGGGGTGTCTGAGGACTAGCCAGGCGGTTGATCTCAGAATTTCGAGTTCTCAGAGGACTCTTGAGGATCATCCTAAGGATCTCGTTCCGTACTCAATGCCGGGGCGGATGATTTGCTTGTGGACGGCACGCTTGTTTTTAATGGAAAGGATGGAATTTCTGTTGATAGGTGGATAGAGCGAACTTATCAAATGTTGCACTTGGTGGATGATTTGTCCACATGGGAACGGAACAGCAACTTGC